GTGTGTGTGTTCCTACCTGGATCTCGCAGCAGCAGCTGAGCCATGGCCTGTGAGCGGCCGGCTGAGTTTTCAGCGACACACTGATAAAATCCTTCATCTGATTTGACCAAACCCAGAATCTGCAGGTTGCTGCCGTCCTGAACAACAACAACACAAACAGTATTTTAATAAATACAAAACCAGACTCTATGACACAAACACAAAATTTGTCGTAAAAACAATAAAAAAGTTTGTATGTAAGAGTGAGGGAATGTGTGCATGTGTGTCTGTGTGTGTGTGCGTGTGTGTGTGTCATTACTTTACTGAGGATTATAGGATTACAGGTTAAGAGTAATACACAAATTGTGAGATTATGAAAACACAACATATTAATGTCTGACTAAACATACTGATAGTGTCACTTTCTATTTTTAACACAAAGCCTTTCATTCATTATTAATTCTTGTTTTTGTCTCACTGTGTCATCCCTCCCTCCCTCCCTCCATCCCTCCATCCATCCATGATCTCTACTCTGAGGTACACTCTGGGGTGAGGGTCGTCCATCTTTATTCACCATCAATGTGTGTGTGTGTGTTTCTGTTTGACTCACAACAATCTGGAAGTAGTCGCTGGGGATGACTTCCTCTCCATTCTTCATCCAGCGGACTGTCGGCTGAGGGTTTCCCGTCACGGCGCACTCCAGCTCGATGTCGGTGGACTCGTAAGCGTACGTGTTGGTCGGGTAGTTCAGGAACTGAGGAGGGACTGCAGGAAAACACAAGACAACACATAAGCAACAGAGGAACGCCTCACACCTTAATAACATTACGAGTTATTTACAGACTAATAGACACATTAACAGGGCAAGACAATAGGAGAAGACTTAAAGCACTCTGATAGGACCAGTAAGGAAATACACACACACACACACACACACACACAGTGTATCAGTGGTGCTGCCTCTCTAACTTTCATGCGTCTGAGGCCATCAACGGGCTGTGGACTGTCAGTGGAGGATGAAGGAGGAATGCTTGTTGATATGTTGAAAAAATATTAAAATGACAAAAAGAAGTAAATATAGACATTAATGACAAATGATCTAAAAGTATGAAACATTTTATTTCTCATTATGTAAAAGGGTTCAGGTCAGTGTTATATTATTACCACTACAGTTCATATTTAATGCTACACACCTTTTTGTCGTATTGTCTATTTATCTGATTGGAGCTTCAACTGTTTCCCAAAATTATTGAAAATTAAAAAGATTGATTATTCTCTTTACTGTGAAAAGCGTAAATAGATAAGTAAAAACCAAAATATTTAACTTTTTTATTCAGTAAAATTGTCTATTTTTCTTTTTTTGCCTCTATAGTTATAAATCTGGGATAATCTGGAGAACATATCAGTGTTGTGAGCTTTTTATAAAGATATGGTGGAAATACATTGACTCCCAATCTTCATCTTTTAGAGGCTGTAAAGACAGAATTCATCACAGAGGCACAACTAAGCTTCAAATGCAGCCAACAAATGTGTCCTCGTATTATGAGCAATGACGGTTCCATGGATCCTTCTCAGGCCAACATATCCCAGAATTCATTGTGCATGGCGACAAAGCTAATGAGCTAGCTATGTGGGTGGCTGATGCAATGATAAGAGAAAGAGCTGAGGACACAAATAGAAAATCCTTCGTTTACCAGAAAGTCTCGTTTCAGCAGATTATGGAGGCCACACCTTCGCACACAGCGTGGACCGAATCCTCTGAAGGATGTAGCCTCATTACATTCTACAACTTCCTCAAAAATGTTTACATTCAGACTGAATAAAGGAATTATAGTTAAAAAAGTAACTCTGGGCAGTATTCTGTAGGAAACCGTTTTAAAAACTATATAAACAGGCAGGTGCTTCAAGCCACTTCCCTGCTTTTACTCGGCCATGAATCACTAATTCAAAATGAAACCAGGTCAGTGAACGAGCTGCTGATGAAACTCTTGACACTGTTGTCTGAACACATGCAGAACAGCTGTGGGGGATTTGGGGGTTTTCTTCCTCAGCTGCAGCTCACAGCAGGAAGACAGACTTCCAGCTGGTTGCCATGGCAGCAGTTTAACGAGTACCAGCGGTGGTCATTGTGGCGGGATGACACAGTGGGTATTCGCAACTTCTAATTATTTCAGCAGCTCTGACCCAAATTCGGTCGGATTAGAACTGTTGCTTTCCCACTGAGGGGCACAGCTGGACTGAAACGCCCGAGGACCACCTCACCTGTCCGTCCCAGCTGGAGACGTCTGGACAGAGGTTAACACAGGTGGAGCCGGCAAAACAGACACTGCTGATATCATCGTGAGGAAGAAACCAACACAGGACAGAGAGCAGTGTAAGGTCAAAGGTCAAATGCGTATGATGGATTACGTGTAGGAGGTAAGGAAAGGAAGGAGAGTCACCATTTCACAATAAAATCAGTTTGTGTGACAGATTGTGCTAAATCTGAAAAATCAATCATAACGACCTTCAATTCTCAAATCATTTCCTTCCTCCAGCATAATATCAGTCCTGTGAGAGGAAACCCACAGATGGCAGGATTAACGGTGGCAAACAAGAAGCAAACAGACGGACAGTTGACCCGCAAGAAGGAACAGGAATCTCCCATGATTCATCACAAACATCCAAACAATCCGCCAAGACAACGGCTGGTGGGGAAAAATGAGCAGATGTCTTGTCTGTAATAAAACACCTCACACTTTCACTGGGAATTTCTTCTTCCTGGAGCAAAGTGAGGAAGACATTTCTCCACAGGGTTTCATGCGATGACTCATTTTTGATAACCAGAGCATGATGGGTAAAACGGTCAGGCAGCTGAAAAGTCATGTTAAGTCCTCTTTCCTTTTTCCCCTCTGTGACTTGACTGAGTTCAATCCTGGATTACAAAGCTTAAGAAACAATAGACGGGTCAGGTTGATGTGATTGGTCGGTGGGGTCGACTAAGCGAGCGCATTAAGAACCTGCGATCATGCAGAAAAAAAGAAATGAGCAGCAGCAGCAGTGAAAGACTGAGATTATAACATTAAAACCGTCTGAACATGCGTGACTGAAGAGTCGGCGAGGCTTTAATCTGTGACACCAGACCGATCATAAAGAAATGCTGATTAAGTGATGACGGAGCCGGTGGTTTACTGAGAGAACAGCAGCGCTCTGGAGTCAGAGGAGCAGGAAAAAATGGTTTAAACTGTGATGTCAGGTGGACAGCTTCGTTACAGGGTTCAGCTCAGAGGTGGAGCCAATAATACAACGAAGATTTGTGATTAATTTGACAAAAGCTGAGCTCTCATGGATCCAAGAGGAAACTGAGGTTACGCTGGTTTCCCCTCCTCATGTTATCTACAGAGTATCAGGAGTATCTTTCTAACCTGGTGTTGACACCCACAAACCCTCAATGGTCCGTCGTCTGTTTGAAGACATTCTGTCATTGCTAAAACAGAGACAAACATTCTCGTGATGAAACCTGATAATAACTTCGCTGTACAAACTTTCAAACTCTGTTTCTTGTCAAAAACATGTAAATTCTTATTCAGAGTAAAATAAAATAAAGCCCCTTTAACACACCTACTAACATCTGGCTATATTACAGATGCTAAAGTACATGTAGTGATTATTCCAGTGTCAAATAACTCTGTGGTCCCCGTCCAGCACTGATGTAAACATGACATGACACCTTTTTGCTGTTAAAACAGAAACAGCAGCTACATCTTATTTTACACACACAGCATCGAACAGCTTTGATAATAATGCTAGCCATGCTAGCCCTCACATACAGACATTTCATACAACATACTGCGGTTTGCTGCGTCAACATAGAGACACAGTGAAATAAAAAATCTATATGTCCTGAATTTAAAAGATCATTACTGTGCTAACTTCATATGACATTAAAGTTATATGTTTTCTGATATGGAGCCACAGAGGAACATTTGAGAGCAGCCGTTTGACCCCCCCCCACACACACACACACTTTCCTGTCACTCTCTTTCATGATTTTCAGGCTGCTCTGTCTTTTCTGGCGAGCGGCAGCGTGCCTGCCGATGGATCAGTGGGGGGGTTTGGCAGCTGGTTAAATGTTTTCAAAAACACCCACAGTAATTCACAGAGCCTATAATTAATCAGGGGAGGAAACCTGCAGTGTGTGTGTCGGTGTGTGTCGGTGTGTGTGTGTGACTTCCTGATTCCACAGTGAAGTAAGACAATCACTGCAAATCAGAGACTAAACTGATCTGTGTTTATTGCTGTGAATAAGTCTAAGTTTGAGTGTGTGTGTCTGATTAATTTCAGGTATTTTACACTTCATTAACATTGTTCTCATCAACATGGAGCCTCTGTATTTAGAATAGAAGCACGTGAAGCTTCATGTGCTGCAGGATTGACTCACTCATCTTTTGAAGCTGAACTTTACAGCGAGGGAACAATGATGAGAAACCTCACGCTTCATATTGACAGAGACTATTGTTGCATGTGATGTTGGTACAGAACATTTTTCAAACCAAATCATATTGTGAGTGAGCAGAAGTGTATTTTCTCCAGCTACAAATGAGCTTGTCCACACGACTGTCTGATTCAGGACGTCTGCACCGGTCTGCAGCCCCTCCCTCCCTGTCTGTAACTCCTCCCTCCGTCTATATAACCGAGCAGACTCCTCGATAACGAATGCTGCTGTTACGTTAGCATTAGCAAGACTGATAAGCAGCAGCAAAACAATGTCGTACATGAATAAGATTTACTTCTCTGCAGCGACAGTAAACACAATATGGAGCCTTCAGATAACTCTGCTACAATCAGAGCATCACAAGATATTTATGGCTGATGAACAGTAACAGGGTGGCTCACCAACACACACACACACACACACACACACACACACACACACACACACACACACACACACACACATACACACACACTCCTGATAGCTATGTCCTAATGACTAAGAGTCTGACTGTAATTTCTTATGACTGGTTCATGCTACCAGCTGTGTCACTGTTCATTAAACTGTTGGTAAAATGTTGTCTGTACATTTTCTGTAGTTTGTGTTTCTTATATTTCTTCTAAAGTCTGGACAAGTTCTCCTGCTGTGTTGGTTCCAGCGTCTCGTCCACTCTGTGTTGGTTCCAGCGTCTCGTCCACTCTGTG